TGCGAGAGGGGAAGTACTGTGTCATCGAGGTGCCCAGATGTGCAATTTTCCCAGATTTCTGGGTGGGGGGCTCAAACTGGTTCTGTTGCATTGTCGAAAGGAACCCCTAGATATTGAACCAGGCCCTTGTTGCTGCCGACTCCACCTGGTAGAAAGGTTACATTTATAGGTGCAGGAACAAAGGATTCTGGGGCTGTGGCAGCACCCCCTGGCTTGAAGTGGTTTCCATTATATACAGGGTTTACTGTTTGGGTCAATGGTTCTCAGCACCCCCACTGTACAAATTGTTCCGGTGCCTCTGGTTACATTTACCTCCATGGGCATGGACATGCTGAATGTATCCCAGCCAGAAAATAATACTGCCTAAAATGTAACTAAATCAGAATGGAAGCATTGCAAACACACCCTGCACTGGGGTAAATGCCAACACAAGGTGCAAGATATCAGAGTCCAGACTAGCAAGGGGAATGAGTCTCGCAAGCTTTTGATCTGTTTTTATAAAGCAGCAGACTCAGGGTTTATTTTTAGACTACCAGGTATGGAAGTATTCTCAATTCACGTCACTCTCCTTTGGGCATATTTGCCGGATAGGTCATGGCTGGGCTGCAGGCATCATCTTGGAATTCATCAAATTGAGCGGGAGTTGGATAAGACCCAACAAGATTAGAGTGTGGCCAGGCGATTGGCACCATCTTGGAAACAATTAAATTGAGCGGGAGTTGGATAAGACCCAACAAGATTAGGGTGCGGCCAGGCAATCGGCACCATCTTGGAAACAATTAAATTGAGCGGGAGTTGGATAAGACCCAACACGATTAGGGTGTGGCCAGGCAATCGGCACCATCTTGGAAACAATTAAATTGAGCGGGAGTTGAATAAGATCCAACAAGTTTAGGGTGTGGCCAGGCAATCGGCACCATCTTGGAAACAATTAAATTGAGCGGGAGTTGGATAAGACCCAACAAGTTTAGGGTGTGGCCAGGCAATCGGCAGCATCTTGGAAACAAATTGAGCGGGAGTTGGATAAGACCCAACAAGATTAGGGTGCGGCCAGGCAATCGGCACCATCTTGGAAACAATTAAATTGAGCGGGAGTTGGATAAAACCCAACAAGATTAGGGTGTGGCCAGGCAATCGGCACCATCTTGGAAACAATTAAATTGAGCGGGAGTTGGATAAGACCCAACAAGATTAAGGTGTGGCCAAGCTGCCAGTGCCATCTTGGAACCCGTTAAATCGGATGAGTGTTGGCTCAGCCCCCTGGCAAATCCCCTTTGCCCCATTCTCCTTATACATCCCAGTGGCTGAGGTAAATCCTACCTTGCACTCAGATGGGACCGTTTTAGAGCTCCTATTTCAAATTGCAACACACTGAGGGTAAACGCAGGGGTTCCCAAACTTGTTAATTGTATGGGTCATATTTAAATAGTTAGATCAACCTGTGGATTTTCCTCTTCTCCCATTCACTACCATGCAGCGTCCTTGTGGCTAACAGGGGATTGGACTAGATGACCTCTCGAGATCCCTTCCAGTCCTATGATTCTATTCTATGATTCTAACTGCAATCGTTGATTCTGAAATGTCCCATTAAGAACCTATGTAACACTTTTATCTATGTGTTGTTGTTTTTTAGAAGCTGAAACAAGGAGAAAGAGCGAATTCCCTGAGACCAATTAGCTCTCTGCTGAGCCTTCCCGAGCAGCCTGCAGACCACCCTTTGAGATCCTCCGAGCTAACACAATTTTGCCATACAGTAAGTCTGAGCCGACATGCATAAAACGAAGTACACCATTGTGATTTTCTTGCACCCCATGCAATGCTTCAAATGGGTTTAAATGTCCCATTGAACTGGAAACTTTTCACTCTCCTTCTTTGGGTATGGGGAGGGGAAAATAAAGACACAGGGAACTTGGAAATTACATAAGACCGGCCAGACTGGGTCAGACCAAAGGTCCATCTAGCCCAGTGTCCCATCTTCTGACAGTGGCCAGTGCCAGGTGTCCCAGAGGGAATGAACAGAACAGGGAATCATCAAGCATTTTTGACCAAAAAACTAGCTTTTTGGGGGGATTTTTGCCAACTATTTGGGAGGCCTTTGAAATGTTGAAATACACAAACGTTTTCTAAGATGCTGCCGGCAGGCAGACCACACCCTATGGTTTTAGGACCTGGTCCAACTCCCGCTGAAGTCAGTGGAAAAACGTTGGTTCTGTCCACATTTTCTGTAGAAGAACATCCCGTTTTCTAACCAGCTCTAGTTTATACAGTGCCTGCCACCACGGAGTTCTGGTTGCTAGCCCAGGCTGCCAGACAAATGCTAAATATTTAGCACGGTCTTCGAGAGGCTAGAAAATGTCTACCCTGATCTGAAAAAACTGTCTGGCCTTCAAAAATATTTTCTGACACCAATTTAAAATATAATTTAAATAGTGGGTTTTTTTTCAAAAAATTGTTAATAACTTAAGTGCCACCATCATGCTTAGCTCTCCTCAAGGCACAAAAAATATGTCTGAGGCCAGATCCCCATCTGGTGTACCAGATCTTTGTTGAAACGAAGAGTCCATAGGGGGAGCTTTCTACTCTGATCTGCAACGCGGTCATGTTAGAGATTTCACTTACAGAGTCTATCACCCCAAAGCAGAAACGGAGTTGTGTGGGGAATTCTCCTTCCCCACTCACATTTTGTCCCTGTCATTGATTTCAGAAGAGGTTTAGGAGGCTACAATGCAAACTTGCCCAGCACCTCTGCCAGGCTGACCACTTATAATTTTTAAGTTTTCAGTGCCACAGTTTTTAAGCAGTGCCTGCCTTGCATATTTGCCTTGTTAACAACAGTAACTCTGCTAATGCTGATGTGGCAGCCTAACCCATCTAAATTTGGGGAGTTACTAGAACAGGAAAAATCTTAAACAGTAAACTTAGATCCTACCCTCACTGTCCTTCTCAGACTCACTCTCTGTTCTTTCCGGTCCAAGTCACTAAATCCAACATTATCCTTCTCCACATCAGTCCCTTTTCTACCTGTGTAAGATTGAAATTGTTCACATACCTGCTCGCTGAATGCCCTGGTAAGTCCACGCCTGCTCACTGTGGGTCATATCTTCATTACTGCGGCCACAAGCAAGCAGAAAAATCAAAATCTCCCAGGCAGAAGGGACACCAAGAAAGCCAAATGTGAAGGGAAGCTGGAGACAGCAGCAAGGAGTTCTCAAAAACCAGCCAAATAACAGTTATGAAATATGCAATGCGATATCACTGTAGTCAAGAGTCTAACGGACACGTCTGGTCTTCATTAGCTCGGTGCAATGAGGCACTGCGATGAACAAATATAGTCACTACATCTGTTCGGCGAGTGGATCAGGAAGTGTTATGCAACAGGGCTCCTGTCCTATTAGCATTCTGTCAACGCCCTTTGGCCTCTTTCCATAATCCTGACTCATAGGAGAGAGAGAGTGTGTGTGTGTGTGTGTGTGTGTGTGTTGTTTTGTTTGTTTTCGTTTTTCCGGATTCACCCTCCCT